CAATGAACCAGCGTCCAGGTAGGCTACTCTGATCCCTTGACCAAACTGTACCAGCAAGAAGTCTTGATATAGCATAGAAAGTGTATTCTCAAACACCCAGCCAGCACACAATGAATCCAAGCACTCAAATTGCGTTTATTTATACTCAATAGAGATGTCCCTGGGACAGTCACAAAAATAGCACACTAAAATGACACAGTAACCAATCACAGCCAAGGACTTTTCCGGTGGGAAATGTAATCTCAAGGTCGACTGATCGGTCCATGAAATAATTCCAAAATAAAGATATTTATTACGAGAGTTCTGGGGATCTAATAACCCCAACAGATTTAATTAGCAAATAATTTTGTAAATAAACTCCAGTAATTCGTATTAAATAAAGTGGATATGTGATGGAAGATAAAAACCAAGTATAAATAATTTTATCCAGGAATCAAGTTGAAGTATATTACTATCATTATTAAAACTGTTTATTGATTAAATTAAATTCAATGAAATTTATCAGTCGAATAATCTGTCAGTTGTACTGTACAACAAGATTTAACTAGTAATTAAATACAAAAGTGTTGATAATTTTGTTGAGATTGTAAAATTTACATACATTAAATAATTTTCTGTTGATTGCGTAATATAATCATTAACGTGGAAGTACTGGACGACAGTGATAGCGCTATTATGTACTCACTAATAACTAGCTCCGTGAGGAAATTCTCGGATTTCTAGTGAGAAACCGTAATCAATGGAGTTCAAGCATGTCTAATGTGAGGTAGTGTTACCCACCGAACACGATGGATGAGGTCACTCAATATTGTGGATTGACTGAAGCTAGACATTAACACCATTGGATGCCAGCTCAGTGGTCTAGAGGTTGGACGTTTGGGAGTGAAACCGAAGGTCCACTGATCAATTCCCACTTGCAGAGTTGTGGGTGTACACTGTTGATGAATCCCATACTGGGAAGAGATGGCCGTTTAGTGCTTCTGTGTTACTAATGACAGCCTAACATTAATCGATCCACCGTTTTAATGAAATATATAACACTTCAACTGCGTCAAATAATTATGATAGCTACTTGCCTATCTATGATTTATAACAACAGAACTGAATTCCGTTGAATTAATTAAAAGGAATATTCATCAGTACAAGAATTAACAAGGAGTTTATTCGGAACTATAAACCTTTATGTTCCTAATCAGTCCGAATCAGAGGCTTTCGTATTTCGTTTCGATTATGAATGGAGTAGCTAGATTCACCGTCTTACCTTCATTCTCCAAACCGAACTCTATCTGATTACAAATAAAAACGTTCATAACATCAAAATGATCAAGTTTGAACATTTCAATATTTCAAATTTCAGTATTTAAACATCGATTTTTTTGTTTCATAGCAATAATCTAAGCATGATTTTAGTATTCATAGGCCAACATATCTCAAAAGTGAAGAAAAACAAGCCTTTCATCAAGAAATAACCTTTTCTAAGAATTCTCCACTTGTTTTAAAAATGCATGAAACATAAGATAGATTCTTCCATTTTACAGATTTATTTCATCACATTAATGGTCTTATTTTATAGAGGAAATGATTTTATGTCTACGAGAAAAAAAGACTAGCAATAACTCACAAAGATTTAATTATATGTTTGATATAAAATGCGGTAGATTTATAATAAAAAGAAAATTAAACTTAAAGCCAACAATAAAAATCAAGTGTTATTAGCCTCCATCAAACAAAAGCACTGACTATTGTTTCACTGATTAAGGTAATGCATCCTTTATTAAAGCGAATGCGACCAGTTAACTGTACGAACAGGTGCAGACTAAGAAAGTAAATTCTTTCTTTTTCACTTCTCTAGTTCTTAGTGAACATTTTTAATTAACACTAGTACTATAATGATAATGCACTATGCGCTAATTCATGACAAGTGAAACGGTTTTAAATGATTCTACAAATTGTAACAAAAGAAAGCAGTTGCGTCATGACGAAGAAAAAACCCTGAAGACAAAGCAATAAAATCATTATTATCTCTTAATAAAGATACACAATATTATTTATAGTTATTCACATAGCTAATCTATAGTCATATAAACATATTGTATAGTAATATGGTAGAATAAGTTTAAGCATCAAACTAAAATTACGTAATCGCCTAGAAAATAATCATCTTGCTTAACATGAAAATAATTTCATCAGGTCACATGAGAACATGATTCTCGCCCATTTTTATATGAATGATGTTCAAATTTTACTGCATCCCAAAAAATAATTAATTAAACACTGAGAAAAACTGTAAACAACACATTTCTTGTTCTAAAACTTATCCACACATATTGCAGATAAATTCCTGTTACATGTCATCTCCGATGACGTACTTTTTATCAGAGTATGAGTAGGTTTGATAAGTTCAACTTAAAATGATTCATTTTTTATTTTCTTGCCTAATTCGTAATTCCTGAAGTTAATATGTAATAAAATCATACTCTGTCCAACGTAGGAGAACTACCTACCAGCCATAAGTGTACTCATAACCAGTTCATTTAAATCCTCAATTTCTATTTCACTATGAACTCACTTGCTTGTCACTGATGAATGATTTATTGACATAGAAAAAAAAAACATTTGAAGTATATTTAAAATTTCGAACTGACTGAACTGAATCACTACTATGTAATAAGAGAGATTTAAAAAAAAATGCATTGGGCATCATTTTATACTGTAAACATTGATTGATATTCATGCTTTGTTTGCTTTCTTTGCGATGGATGAAACTCGAATTTATTCTCATTTTTAATTTTGACATTTATCAAAATCTATCTGACACAAATTATACTCATACTATTCATAACAAAAGCAAAACAACATACATGATCATAGACAATGATTTCCTTCTTCTTGTTGTTGTTGTTGTTATTTTGTCACTACTGAATTCCACCAACTATAAAAGTATAGTCAGCATCAATTTCAGTGGTAACATCCTATCTATTTCTTACAATTGATATGTATGCGTGTTTCTGGATTTATGAGAAAAATATTATCCCGTTAAAAGTAATTATAATAATTATTTTTGAAGGAAGTAACGAAAAACCCCTAATTATACACTTTTTTTTTTCTCTCAATTCATACAATTTTGAAGTTAACATTTGTAGACAGTAAAAATTCAGTCATCTATAGGAATGAAAAGTTGTCAGATTTATTTGCTCAAGTTTATAGACGAATTGAGATGTGTGAAGAAAAGATTCAGTAAACAAATCGGTAATAAGCAAGAAAGAGTATGAATGAACTAAACGAACATCATCGTGATAAGTTATAACTGAGTGTGTATGAAAATAGCTTATAATAAATTTAGGACGTAGCAATAATAAAATTCAGAAATTTTTTAGAATCCTAGAAAAAAACCCTGACCTGTAAAAACGACCATGTTGAAAGTAAGACATTCATCTGCTGATTTAGTTGGATGATAGTTGCGTTATACACCAAATTGACTGAAGTTATATCATCCAGATTGTTAAATTGTTTCAATGGTACAGATTAGCTGTACAACCCGAACAACTTGGGATGTATGACTATTTTAGGTAAGTGCAGTTGTGGACTATTAGTATGAAAAGAGACGATTACCTATAAATTCGAAGTTTTACATAGTTTCCCAACTAAAACCAGGCTGTGATAAAAGTTAGAGACATTAGGGAAACTCGGAAAAAACGTCAAGTGTGCAAACACATAGAGTTGCATTATTTGCATAAATCCAATTACTAAGTATCGATATGTTCGTAATAAATAACTAATTGTAAACCTAACATTCACAGTCCATTTTTATTTAATCCAGTCTAATTCGAAGGTTATTCATCCAATAAATGCATACATTGGAAAACCAGTCAAAAATCGACATGCAGTTGACAGGATTTTAATTATTTAAAAAATAAAAATTTCTAAACTTGTTTTCTGCTTGAAATATTGAGTATTCACTGTGTTGTGATGAGATTTGTGACAGTTTTCTCATTCTCAAAATGACATGTGTTTAATGAAACTAAACGTTGATGTTGTATAATTTGAATGAATAGTATTTTCGATGAAATATGAAAGACACAATGACACAGTGTATCTAACCAACTAATAAACGTTACGTCGTAACACCCAACTGTGGTACATCGAACTAAGACAAAACGATGGTCTATTATTGCTCGCAAGTTTTCACTAGTGGTCTAACTAAGATGAGTCTGTAATTTAAAATCGATAAAATTCGTAAGTTTTTTTTCATCAAATCGATTAATGGCAACAACAGTTTTATGATTTCATTTTCCTAATGTAAACTACAATGTACTCAGTATAATTCCTCACAGATATTTAACTGTATTTGTAAAAAAATTCAAACAATTGAACTAAAATATTCTTCATCATTTCTTAGTAGTCTTGTTTAAACTTCTTCAAGGAGGGTGGAATAATAAAAAACAGATAACAATGAAAATGAGTGATAACTAACTATTTTCAAATGTAAAATTTAGTTTATCATACAAAATACGAACAATTTAATAATGTGTAATCCAGTTAAAATCTCTAACTAAATGATCTTACACTATATGATCAATATTCAATTAGTCGACAGATGGAATTTTTATTGAACAACAAAAGTGTCCAGTACAACATTTCTTCATTGATAATTTCGATGATTCAAAATGGGATTTGTCAGAATACGATGATCGAATGGAATGCTGAAACTTAATTTAAAAGATTCACTTTTCACTAATAAATATATCTCTGATTATTTTTGGTTCATTGTTTATAGTATAAAGATTCATAAAAAATTATCCTTCTTCTTTTTTTTCAAGAAATAATCACTTGAAATTATTGACATCTAATTATGTGGAAAAGTTTTTTTTCTGCTGATAAATTTCATACACACACAATAAATATAATTCATTTTGTATACTACTATAAAACTACAACAACAAAATTTTACTATAAACCATCAATTATTTTTTTTTCTCGTTTTTTTCTTCTTCTTATAGAATGTCGCAGAACGAGAAACCAGTCAATTTAAACGTTCCTCTATGCGTGACCATTCCATTTATGCAAGAAACAACAACAACAATAACAATGATGACTCATATAATTCCAGTCGAAAATCAATAACTTGGTTAGAAAAGAAACGAAAAAGACTATTTAGTCTACAACAACAACAACAATCTGAATTACACAAATCTGATGAAATTCATGAGAATATGCCACAAAACTATACTGCTAATCAACATTATCATCAACAACAACCACCATACTTGGAACAACAATTATCTAATGATACAATGATATTAAATTATCCTAGTACAATAAATAATAATAATAATGAAAGTGATCTTCATTGTCAAACTAAAAATTCCATACAAAAATGTAATGATTTCCATGAGACTACAACATCCAATCCAAATGAATTAATACGTGTTACAAGAGAATTAAAGAAAAAACGTTTACGTTCGAAAGCAACTAAATTAGTTGTACTAGTCACTACATTATGGGGTGTATGCTGGTTACCGACGCATATAATTAATTCATGGTTTTTTTTTGATGAAGCTAGTTTTCCATTTGTACCAGCAATGAAAATTGCGAAATTATTATCACAAACATTATCATTTGCTGCATCTTGTGTTAATCCTGTTGTGTATAGTATATTGACTGGATCATTTAAAACAGCTTTATCAAATCGTTTGTTACGTTTTAGAAAGCGTACACGACATGATCATAATAAAATTGAAACACTTTATATTACTGAATAAACAGATTATAATATATTATTACACATAAACTATCATTGACATTCTATTAATGGTATTAAGTATTCTTTCTTTTTTTTTTCTCTGTCTAATTACAATCAGTTATTTAAAAAACAGAGAGGTGCAATTTTTCTGTTATCATTGAAAATTGAAAAGTACAACTGACTAAACAAACTAGGCCAGAAACAAACAGACCATACAGCTCTTTATTCAACATACAATATTTTCAAATGTTCATTTAAAAATTAAACTCATATTTACCCCTCTATTCTATTATTTTTATTTTTCAAGCTTAAATCAACAACACTTTTGTCCATTTATGTATTACTTATAATCTGTTATGAAAACGATTCTGTAAAACGATGGAAAAAAACAAAACAAACCGAGAATAGTTGTAACACTGGTTACAACTAGATTTCTTTGCAAACAAATATATATTCATACAGACATACACACACATACATACAGACAAATCATTATGACTGGTTGGTTAAAGTTAGGAAATAAAGAAAGTGAGAATACCAATATGGTTGGTATATAATACAATAAGATTTGAAGTTTCTTTTTCAACTATGAATCATTCTGAAAATATTTTTTAAAAACATTTCTCAATTTCACTGAGTTGTGAAAATAAGATAAATCAAAATTTAGGTTTTGACTAGTACGTAAATTTTAATTATGTACTGGAAGATTATTTTCACAGCACAAATATACTGTTTATATAACACTGATGAAATCAGAGACATGTGAATAACTGTTGCATTGTACAATCAAGATTCCTAACTGACAGTTTATTATAATGTAACTGAAAGATAACTACTTGTAATACTAAAATTGTCTGTTGTCAGTCCATAACAATCATTCATTGTGGTATAATTAAAAGCTTTCAACAACAAAGAAGCATTTGAATTTAAGTACAATGCATAACGATTAAACACTACATACACTGACCATTTTAACAATTTTTATATATTAAAAAAAATTTCATCTAAGCAAGGCTTAGATAATTCAGTTCATTTACAATGTTATATTATGAAATATTGTACTGATATTTAAAGGAAAAATGTTATAGCCTTAAATAAAATATGTCTTGAAAACGATTGAACAAGAAATAATTAACTGTCAGATGTTTTCTTTTTTTTTCTCTATCTTTAAAAATGACAAGAATGAGTTAATGATTTTGAATACTACATTAAATGAATATCATGCACATAAATGCTTCAAGTTTCCATTGTTTCACAAATGGCAAACAAGTTATTTATTGATGAGAATATCTAATAAAAAGACAATGGTATTTCATTTAAACAAAGACATGTTATATCTATTAGTTTCAAATGGTTAGTTAGTTACCTTTAACAACAAATCTAAGGAATTGGAAATAATCATTTTAACCATGAATGCTATCAAAGAACAGAAGGAATAATAGTGTAGTGAACGAGAACACAGGTGGGGCAACCGAATTGTATTTAACGAAAATCACAGAGTTACTCAGTAAAATTGGAAAACCATATCGTAAATCGTTCATTTGCAAAATATCAGTTCATCATATCGAACTGGACTGTTCCTGTTGCAAAACATCAACCCATTGTCACTATTCATGCGTTTCATACAAATTCCATTGTATTCTAACTCTTCCTTTCTTGATCTTCCCCCATCTTCTGCTGCCAGACATTACGTTGACACTCACGTCATATACTACTTATAAGTAGCTCGCACCACAATAGTATTATTATGTAGTTCAATTATCAATGCTAATTAAACTTACACGAATTTCATTAGATTGTTGAACCTAATCACTGAAATGTATCTGCAATCAGCTATTACACTGAGGTTTCAGTACAACGTCATTAAGAACATTTGGGGCGGAAAAAATCAGTCAGATATCGCAAACATTCGTACATTCTCCCAAGTCCGAACGTTATTACTCCAATTATTGGTATTTAACTTCACCGCTCTCTCTAGTTAGTGTGAACAGGATTACTAAAGCGACCAGCCAACCTTCTAAATGATTGTTAAAATTAGAGAATGAAGCTTTCTAATATATACCCACCATCATATTGCCAAGGTGATGAATTAAAATCGGATTTCATAGACGGAATGTAAACTATATATATATATATATATATATATATATATATATATATATATATATATATATATATATATATATATATATATATATATATATATATATATATATATATATATATATATATATATATATATATATATCACTTCAAATCCCTTAGTAGTAGAATTACCGGTAATGGAGAAGATTAAGCTTCGAAGATGTTAATCAAGAAGTATAACTGAGCGAGATAAGTTTAGAAAAAGGCAGAGGTGATGAGGAATTCAGAAGATTATAATTTCATAGAACACAACGAATGGATGCACCTGCACCAGTGCGAACGATTTTGAGCCATGTCATTCAAGGTCTCTAACCATCGATTATTATCGTTTTGCGGACCCCAACCAGGTAGCCTACATCTACTGACATGAATCAGACCACTACACTCAATTTCTCATTGAAATGCTTAAAAGAAAATCTACTAACTTTGGAAAGAATAAAAACAATCAAATGAATAAATAAAAGTATATTTTATGCTATGTAGAATATATTTATGTATATATACACCAACTCCAATGAAAAAATTAAATAAACCAAATTATTCACAACGGATTAGATGCTCGACCAAGTCTAGAATGAACTGGAGCATTAAACTTCCCCTGTCTGTTACCTGCAACATAAACAAAATGAAAGTAGAATAATGATGGGAAAGTCATTCATGTATATTTTAGAGAGACAGATTATGTATACAAGACAGATTGAATATGAACATAAACATTAAACATGCCAAAATAATTATGTATTACTTTTATCACCAAAAATACTGACAGTTTAACTAGATTCAGAGTCATTTGATAAGCTAATTTTTACAGATCAGCACTTTCATACGAAACACAATGGAACCAACTTATCCTAGATTAACATCCTCAAGTATCAACATGATGCACAGATCTCTAGAGTATAGAAATATTTCCACAGACAGACAAGGTATTGTGTATTTTACAGGTCGACTTCCACAAGAAACTTTTTCTTTTGCCGTAAGAAAATGACATGAAGCTTCGCATACTGAATGTCAAAAATAACGGAAAATAAACTTGACTACTAATAAGTAGTCACATTGATAATCCACCAAAATGCAATCGGTGGTTTTTTGGAATTCGAAATTTAACAATGAATTTAATAAATAATTAATTTTAATTTATTAGTTTTGGAAGAGAATATTTTATGTATTATTTTAATATTTTTCACTTCCTTCTATGCTGATACGAATTTAATTTAATCTAAATTGTAACAAATGTTGCAACATTTATTTTGAATAGTTATCTACCCAAAATCAATCTACACTCCGATGAAACGAATAACAAATGAGGAAAAAAACTCAATACCTAAATAATACACCACCAATGTAAAATAAGCGTTCAAGCATGAATACCACCGTGAATTCCTAATAATTTTCATTAACACCCAACGAGTCTCTGAGGAAATGAAGAGTCACAAAATGAACCAAAAGGCTCAGGAGACATTTTGTGTGAATGCCAGACACTCGATAATTTGATGACGTAATCAGTTTGTTCTGACTTAGATCGTACTAATTTATCCCATGGAAATCTTTTAGACTAACATTATTTTAGCAGTTCAAATCACACTAACCTGTAACAAAAATGTGCTACACATAACAGAATTTGTGATCTGACAAATTCCGCTCTACGTGACATTTTATGCCCAAAAGATAACAATCAACTTATTTAAAATATGATAAATAATATAATATTTTCTGGTCATTCAATAATATTTATGTGGTGAATTGTGAATAGTCTATCGAAACAAATAGGTGCAACAATGTAAGCGTCCAGAATATTTCTCGGATGAAGCCGCATTCATCATAGTCGCAAAGCCCAAATCTATCCGAATGTCCAATATCTAATGTGTAAAAAGAATCTTTAATGGAGTCTGAACCAGTTAAACCACAACTTTTCCTAGTATCACTCTATTAACTTTGAAGAGTCATATAAATTATTATGCTCATAATTATAAAACATTTATCCCTAAAGGAAAAAATTTGTTTGTTAGCTCGTATAAAACAAATGCGGGGGGTACTGCGCAGAGTTTGGTATTTAAAGAACGAACTATGATGTTAAGTTGCGACAGGAAAAAGCAGGTCAGTGAGCTTCATCGTTACTGAAAGATATAGTGAAGAATCACAAGCGACTGCAAATAGGCCTGCGGATAAACAGTTCGTAATAATACACTAACAATGTAGTGAGTAAATTTGAACCATAAATGACGATGTTCTGTACGATCTAAATGAAGTGGATTTGATTTTTGAAAATTCATGAACGAACAGCACATGCAAATTCGGAGATCGAGGGATAAATGAATACGAAGACAGACCGTAACATAGATATCTACGTATACTACTTTGTGATTATTAGGACATTAAGTCTATTGACTCTGATCTGAGCAGTCACATAATTTCAAGAGGTTTAGCAGACCAACCAATGCATTGTTACAGAACTAATCCACCATATATCAACGTGAGGCTATTGGATGCTTGATTCTAATAAAATAAGAAATCCCCACCTATTTTGGTAGGAAACAATCATTGGAATAAGGAAACATGTCAATTTATATTCACTGAAGTCAAATCTTTTACGCATTAAAGTAGAGTAGTGCTATACAAATCTAGTGAAAAAAAGTTCTTAAATAAATTAAATAATTACCTAAACGGTTTTTTACAGAAGTTTTCTGCACACGACTTTGGCTAAGTACGCCTTCAGTATATGGCGAAAGAAAGTTATTTAGAGAACATGGCGAAATTGATTCATTGTTAAATTTAGGAGGTTGCGTTCGTGACTTCTTAAAAATACCTTGGTAGGGAAGTTGATCACTTGGTTTTATAGCGGTAGATGGTGTACTCAAACGACTGAATACGGTATCAGAAGCCTGTGTGCACAATGATTGAGAACGAAAAAAGTAGGTGTAAACAGAAAAAGTTAAAAACAAAATATCACGGTTAGAGTACGATATGCCTTCAAACTAGTTAATATTACCTTGGATGAACAGGTCACGATAATTCTAACAAAATATTCTTATGATTTTGAGTTAATAACCACACCTAAAAAATGCTATTTGTTGCCACTATGTGGTTTGCAATGATTTTCTGCACTATTTATACAATGAAGTATGTGCCTGTAATGATTATCAGTTTCTAGGAGAATACATAGTGATTTTGTGGTTAAAGGGTTGGTAATTCAAATACTGAAATGGCAGATAAAACTACACATTTTTAACTTTAATTTGATTGACAGGTATCAGTCACTAACCCTCAAAAACTCAAATGACGTTAGATTGAAGGTTCTTGATTCAAAGTCCTAAAATCTGATTTTGGACCAGTAATTCAGTCAGCTACAACGTAGAACTTCGTACGAACGTACATCAGTTTAAGTTGCCATACAACATTAGTACACAGAGATGGAATCGTCAGTTCGAATTCCATAGTAGAAGAGGAAGTGGAAAAAACTAGGGTTCAAAGAAATGACTCAAGAATGATATCCCAGTGATATAAACTATCGCTTACTATTGTCTCGCGGACCCCAAGCAGCTAGTCTACACATAAATGGCTTGGTCCAGTTTTTAGTGACTTCATAAATTTGTGCCATGTTTTTTGGTTTAGCCACCCCAATCCTTCTTCCAGCCCACCCTTACATCACACACATTGATCGTCGAGGTGGTCGGTGATTAGGCATACGTAACACATGTCCAAACCATCCCAAATGATGAAATATCATTACTCCCTTAACGAGTGACCATCTCCTAACAGTGGCGTCGCTTACTCGATGGTGCCAACATATACGAGCGGCACTTTGAAAACACCAATGATCGAATACTAGTAACCCACAAATATCGTTTATTCCTAGAGGTCATGTTTCATACCCGTATAGTAGGATGGCTGTTAAGAGACGGGTAATTCGTCTACTCCATAAGTGATGCAAATGAGCAGAAGCCAATCGATCCTTCTGTTTTCTTTGCCGAGGTTTCGTCAAACACCAGGCCATCAGCACTGATGAAACTCCAAACATAAGTGAAGCTGTGTTCTTTTTACGTCCAGTAAGCCACAGACAAATACGTCCTCACATGACTTGAATCTAAACAACTGATCCAGAATGAACGGCAATCTCCTATTGAGCATCTCCATAAGTGACTGACAGCAATTTGTTCTGTCTGAGTCCAGTGTTGAGTCGGTTTTTTGGGATCACCATATCAAAAGAAGTTGTTCATTATGTTTAAAGTTGGTATTTTCCAGAAAGAAGCATAGCTGGCAGATGGTCGCCATTATCTGTTTGATGAGCCACGACACCATAAGATCCATCCCAGGTGCCTTTTAGTTTTGTTTAGTCTACCTACTTGAGCATTGAAATCACCAGTCACTATTACTACATCAGAGGGCTTACCTTTTCGAAGAAGGTTCGGAAGCTTTCCGTAAAATTCATCTTTTACGTCAGCTGAACTGCAATCAGTGGGAGTGTAGGTACAGACAACGAAGAGGTGAAGTCAAGTATCCCTACCTTTCCGAGTCATACTGTCCTGCTCAGTCGGACAGTGCATAAGCGACTGTCTACTGGAATCCAGTCTGAGACCTGGACCTGCTTTAGGACTCAATGCTATACCTACACCAGCGAGGCCACAGGAAGCAGCAGTGAGGCTTCCAGGTACGCGGAGCGCAAATCGCGATGAGGTGAAGTCAAATAAATGACTGTACTCGGATACTGTATGCGCGTTTTGGAAACACCTTACTGTTGTCACACCCCCATTTAGTGAGCAGTACGACTTCACCCTCAGATCTTAATTTTCTGCTTTTAGTTTTACCGTTCTCCAATTGACCTACAGGAACAGGTGTTCTAGCCACGGCTGGATCATCACCACGTCAAGTTAGCAGCTACAGTAAAATTACTTACTCTAGCAACAGAACGATCAATAAACAATTGTGGTCGTTTGTTATTAAAACAAAGATAGGATTAATATTAAGTTTTATACAATGATGAGAAAGATATATCAAATAAACACGTACATGTCGTTTAAGAGGTGTTTTCAATTTAGTAGACTGATCATGTACTTTTGTAAGGCCACCAACTTGTTTAACAACTTTAAAATTCAACGAATCCTCTGATGAGTTCATAACAGTTTCCGAAACAGATGCCGATGGACGAAAAGGTGGTGTAAGACTGTTTTCATTTAAATTCCAACGAATAAAGCGTTGCATTGTGGTAGATGGGTCTGTTCTTTTTATGAGCACGCTTGTAGGTGAATCCTCTCTATTTAGAGAATTGCCTAAACGACTGAATACTGAATCATTAGATGTAGAACCATGAGTATTTGACCTGATATTCAGAGTAAAAGCAAACAAAAAAAACAATTATTTGGGATTGATGTTGCAAGTATAAATGACTGCAAAACAGTATTGAATATTGAGAACCTAAGGTAAACCATGAACCCCTCCCATGAAATACTGAATGGAAAAGAAAATGGGTACCCTAAATAAAATAGTTCCGTGTATCATCTAGCACAGCTGACAGAGTTGAGTTACTCTACTTAGTAAGAAAAAGTTACACCGACCTTCGCAGGTTGATGATTGAACTGCTTAAACATTTTAATTCATTAGCCAAGTACAAGTCCTGATAATTTACTTGAACGATACTTGTGGTGTGAAGACAACATATACAAAATTGCACAAACCGAAGTAGACGGAATAAAGTTTGTGTAAATGACCAGAAAAACGTAAGTAGAGTTATTCAATGATTGAAACACTATTCTGAAGTGCTATTCAGTAATTATTAATAAATTTATCAACTGGGATTTCGACCACACCTACTGAATGAAAGACCATAATTTTACCAGACTCGTTATCTAAAGCAGATTGATTGGGATTATAAGATACCAGTGAAATGATGATGGGATAGTAGCTAATTTTTATAAGTGTAATAACCGACTAACTACCAAAACGAAGACGAACTATAAGCCAATGCATTATGAGCTAATTCTACGGCCAAAACTTGAGGAAGAACATAAAATCAATTATAAGTTTACACATCAGTTTTCTTACATATGACAGAACTATTGAGGAAAAAGAATTTATTTTGAGTGAAAAGTACTACTCAAAAATAGAGGATCATAAAATAAAGTTGTAGGCGTTCATCACTTATGATGTGCATGCCGTAACAGTACATCTCAGAATGAAATGTTAGTTGGTAGAATTCATCGCACGAAACCCACTCGACTGTAAAAACTAGGTTATTTCTTCTTTAATGAGAATGGAATAGTACAAACTGAATGATGCATTGAGCTAATCATGTGCATGTGAATTAGGTCTCCCAGAAATGAGCTACAATTAGTGCCTTGATTACCTAAAAGATATATATATATATATATATATATGACTATACAAACATGCAAATTCTATTAGTCACCACAATTCTTTTCTCACTCAAGTAGCCAGTTAGGTTCATGTATAGGAGGATTGCTTATTGGTATCAACATAAGACACTGCACAACATCAACTAGCATATGGCTCATATAAAGAAGCATTGTAGTTCGTACTGTAACAACTAGTGGCAAAACACATTGTCGGCTTCGCAATAACATATTCATAAAGATTAATTTTTTTTTAATTTTGCATAGTTTATAAATCGTGCTTATAACTCTACAGTCAAATGATTTTCAATGTAAAATGTATAAACTACAGAAAAGTGAACTAAAACCAATTACTTAGAGATGATGACACGATAATTATCAGAATCATCGGCATCACTGTCTTCAAAGGTAGAAGATACGGGAGGTTCATTAGTTTTGGCGGCTTCAGCAACTACAGGTTGACTAGGCTTTGGACTATCTAAAAAATAAAAAAGTTTTCACCATAAAAACAGAATGCTACATCACACAGTCATTCATTAACATAAAATGATCCCAACAAATATGCGTTTAAGAACTTAGCTTGAAAGTGTACAAGTTAACATACAAGTCAAACTAGGTTATAGTGGTTACATATGTGAACTAATCTACCCAGAAACAGAAATGATGAATTCTCAAGTGCACGCTGTACAAACCAAACTGGACACCGGCATTCAAACATTCGATTAGCTCCTTTAACCCTTGATTGATTTACGCACCATAAAAATGTTAGAGAAATATATTTGTAACAAGAACGCAAAACTTTTAAGTGTCTAATCAGAATTTCCTAGTAATTTCTAAGAATTGAGAAGTACTGCGAACTGCGTTTACTATGTTTAACGAATACTTGCACTTCTAACACGATTACTTAGATAGAACGAGATGTGACTTGTGTTAATTTATGAGTAAAATTTTAATCGGGTATAACTCAACTTTACTTTCTAATCTTGTGAATTGACTTGACTTGGAAAACAAGAAAGGAAAAGGCCAGAAGGGAAATTAAGTCATCTCATTGTGTATATATTTGAACAGATGAACTTACTCTTCTGCTTCATGGATGCAAGTATCTTCTGAGTCTTTAAAGTTGTCCCCTTTGGCATTTTAACAATATATTTGCCTTCAACCTCAGGATTCATTCGACGACGCACTGAAACTAAAACACCAACACCTAATACCAAGCTAGGTTAACATATTATCAGATACTTTTGGGCACCGCTTCTTTATTTTCTAATGAACAATCTTTCGACGTAGTTGAAGTAACGACAGGAGCTGGCACCGCTGATAACTTAGAAAAAATAACTGAGGACAGAAAACAACTTACTTCGTGTCTTATCTTCTTGCATTGCTTCAATATGGAAATAATATCTCCAATAACTGTGATTCCCATATCTTTTAAGTGATCCTTATCTAAATCAGCAAGGACTGAATTGTTAATTCGATGTTCCACAAAGATTCCAGCATAGGTTTCCCTTAGTTTGGCAGGGACACCAGCAGCCTCAAAAAATTCAATCCATTCACATAAGTCTGAAGAATTATTAAATAAAGTGAAACTAATTTAGCGCAAATATACTAATAAATATGTAGAATAAATACAATATACTTAGATTTGAACGTTTTGATAGCCAGATCACAGTATTTTATGTATAGTTGATTTAAATAGTAACCATCAGATAATCTGGTAAGCTAAACGAAAACAATTTATAGGAAGTTTTGAGAAATCGGACAACTAATATTATCCCATGTTCCTGTTATGAGCTTCGTAAAAACCATTTTATGCATAAAATTACTGTTAAAATTATTGTGACAGTGTAACCTAACTGAGAGGGACATCGCTTATTTCAACGCTAGGTGGTCAGAGAGAACCAATAAAAATTATTAAGGATCACGTGTCCTGACATCTACCAAGACGTTCAAAAAGCTTTGGATGGACGAGAACATACTGAGTTGAGCTCCCACCATTCAGTCCTACAGTTAGATACCTTCATTAGGAACGATGGATTAGTGGTTAAAGCATTTAAATTTGAATTAATTAGTAGCAGCCTCAAATCAGACTTCACGCACATTGATTTCGCTAATCAAGCATTATTACTAATCACGCCAATAGTGCAGATACACAAAATACAGCACGCAGATAATTCGGAAACTAGGAATGACGCCGTTCAAACAGACTAGTTCACCAATCTAGATTGTTTTATTGAAATGAGAGACAAGTATTACGTCACAACACAAAAAATATCTTTTGCCAAGTGGTTATCTTTAAAAAAGCTACTAAGACGAAGAAAAATCTGAGGGATTTACCTTTGTCAACTTATGATCTAACATTTAGGTCTGTGTAATAAGGTAGAAACTGAATTTACGAAGCATAAATGAAAGACAGTAAGTATATGACCTTCAGGTTTATCCAAAACTATTACTTTAACACTAGGTAAAGGATAAAAAAGAATGATAGAACTCCCCCAAATAGATATTCGGACATCAACATAACCAGAATTGAAGTTCTTAAAATTTTTAGTATATTTGGTGGACGTCAGACCACATGACTTGTCGACGAATCAGTATAAGACTCGCCTTTCAAAAGAGTGAAGGAACTTCGGATAGTTCAAAAAGCTACCAACAGTTTTATGACTGCTGATAACGATTCTTACATGCAACAGACTAAAAGGAGTACTACAGCTAAAAGCTGTCCAGCGTTATATGGAGCAAAGATCATTCTTTGGTAGTCAAAGGTAAGCATTGGGCTGATCAGAGAGATAAGCAAGGATGGTAACATTCCGTCCATACGTGGGTGCTACTGACCATTCTATGGAACTATTACTTCCCAATGATAAACGTACCTTTACGTGCTCAGTAGTAAGTCATGAGCATATGTAGATAAACATCAGTGATATATCATGTGAGTGTACAGCTGTAAATACCGTTAGCCGTTAAATATTAGCATGCTGAGGAAAAAGCTAGCAATTTAACACATTATCTCCTGTATTCAAGTCAACTTTACTGAAGGGTTTTCCCGAATTACCCATAAGATCGACTTGATTTAGCTCTTTGTATTACTTGGGACCACACATTGTGAAATGGTTTGTTTACTTAAGATTCCAACTGTAAAAAGTTACTACATCACTTCACTGCACGTTCAATAGGATATTGCACTCTTAATCCACGTGCAACCCAAAATTGGGTTACCACGCGATGGAAATAATCAGCGCTGCTTCACAATATTCGCCACAAAAAAATTCTACATTAAAATACTTACATCTTTAACTTATTAGAATAAGAAAATCAGGTGATGAACTCTATAACAACATTAACTAGTTTAATAATCTCTCCAACAGAAAAAGAAAAGCAGACAGTAGCGGTTACCTTTCATTTTTGGCGGGTTACTAAAACAAAATATCTTGTGAAACGCAGCAAAAAAACGACGTTAAATAATGTACAAAATTATCAAAGTTTTCACATTAAATAAATTCAAGTCTGCCTCAACAAGGCGGACAGTTCAAATCGCAGAAATCGGGGTGCCTGTGAGTTGCTTTGGTAGTACTCTTGCGGAATTATGTCGGACTGTATTTTCCTATTCTAGATCTGTGTCTATGCTTAATTGGCTATCTCAGCTTGTTGATTTATCATAGTAGTCTGCATTTTTAAATTACTATTTCACTCAGTAGAGGACCACTAGTAACGGAGCTTTCGGCCCCATTATTAAGTGCAGGCTTCTAAAGAAGTTTGCAAAATACTTCCCTTAGCCAGGTTTATAGTGTAATAGATAGCATTACTATCAGTAGTCAAAAAAATCCTACAGTCCCAAAAATCGAACTTTTTTAGGTATGTAGTATTCTTAAACTTCATTTTCAGAAACCAGACTCCAGTTGTTTTGACACTGTCATCCCATTGCTTTATCTGAGCTACTGTCCTAATTTTTCAGTTGCCACATTATGGCAACTCATATTATTATCCCTTTAGTATTCTTTACTGTCTATATGTGTACGTGTTCTCACCTAGCACTTCAAAACACTGTTCAATTCCATATACGTTCATAGATATCCTGCTTCTGAAGCGCATAACAAACCTTCGACAGTTTGCACTAGTTGTGTTGTTAACAGTCATTTTTCTGTTTAAAACTTGACACAAGTGTTCATAATTACAAGTTACCTCGTTTAATGACAGTACATTGAGCGAAAACCGAGAGCCACATGACAGTGAAAATGCTAGTTTTTGTCGTAGTAGAAAAGCACATGAAACGCAGAATGTGCAAAAAAAATGGCATAAAATTTCTTACTGTTCAAGACTCAACTAACATTGACAACTTAAAGAGACCCACAATCGCCCCTGGTCTACAGTGATTCTGAATACTTGGTAAACACAACTGCGATTTATGTATACGTACTTCATATCCCAACTTGACCAACTAATAAAGGCTTATTAACTAGCCAACTTGCTCACCACTATATTTGAGAGATATTTCGAAAGTCCATGTCTACAATTTATTCCCACCGTCCTCATCATTTATATCTTGTTACACCACATCGACCTTATATAAGTACTGAATTTTTAATGTACATACAGCTGTCTTTACACCATAGAATGTACAGATTAGCAACATCTAGACCAAGTGGTGTTCGTCAAGGCTGTCCACTCTCTCCATTCTTGTTTAATTTTGTCATAAACATGCTCCTAGATATAACCTTATCCTCGTCTGAATTTTCAGGAGTGGACCTTCTACCAGGAAAATCGCCTACTGACTTAGAATATGCCGATGACATAGTCCTATTCGTTGAAGACGCTAACAAAATGCAGAGTCTTCTGACCACCCTAAGCAACAATGCAAGCATGTTCGGGATGTGATTCTTCCCGTCGAAATACAAAAGGTTGCTTCAAGATTGGCTTACATCGGCACCTAAACTAATGATGAGGAGTGAAGTAGTTGAACGTGTAGACGTGTGGGAGTCTAATCAGCGCTGATAGCCTGGTGACTGACGAAATCTCAGCATGGATACAGAAGGCTCGATTGGCTTTCGTCAACTTGCGTCACTTATGGCGAAAGCGAGATATCCGTTGGCTGACCAAAGGACAAGTGTACTGTGCAGTAGTTCGCTCCGTCCTACTTTGTGGACGTGACACATAGCTAGCCAGAGTAGAAGATATTCGTAGGTTACTGGTTTTCGATCATAAGTGTATTCGAAGCAATGCTTGTGTATCCTAGGACAACCGAGTAAGCAATGCTATAGTTCAGTCAGTCAGTTACCATGTAGAGCTTCGTACATAAGTACATCAGTTCGGGTTGCCATACCCCATTAGCACAGAGACGCAACTCTCAGTTCAAATCCTATAGTGGTAGAGATAATAGAAGTATAAACAGTAATGAAGAAGATTAGGGTTTGAAGATATTCAAAAATCATCATTCAGTGAGACAACTTAAGAATGAGAAAGATTTGAACTATCAGCTCTGTCTCTGTGCTAATGGGGTATGGCAACCTGAACTGATGTAATTACGTACGAAGTTCTACATTGTAACTGACTGGCTGACCAGTCTTTCAGCTTCACCAAGTCTTTGCTTACAAAGATATTGTACTGGATGCTAATTGGTTTGAATCAGAGCCCTTAAAGCGTTGTATGACTAATAGCAGGTGTATCAAAACAAAGAAATAAAAACGACTTTTTGAATAGATGAGTCACTGGTTTTAGCAATCTTTATTTATCTGTTGTATCATATTCGGACGCTTCCCCAACTACTTTTAATCGGATAACCCCATACCATTGCCTTTCTTCATAGTAAGTATGTTTCAATGACAAACACAGTTATTTGTACTTGATTACCAGGATTTTCAGACTATCTTTACAAAATATTTCCAATTTTTTCTCTAACTATTGTGATCAGTCCAATATTTGATACAGTCGTGATGTACATTTTTCAAGAGGCTTTTAAAATAACAATGCCGTACAAACTTCTATGTTTATTGAATTATTTTTTTATGCCCCACAGCATGTATTCATTAGCTGCTTAATATTCTGTTAAGAATTAATTATCAAATTTTGGCTATAAACTCATGGAAGGTGGTCAACCGGTTGCTGAAGTCTGCTCATACTCACCTAATAAATGTGCCGAAGCAGTTAACGGCAGTATGCACTCAAGCTCAACTTCGGATTCAGATTACGAATACCGCAAGAGGAATAGCTATTGCCTTAGTTGTCAAAGACGACCTAAGGCATCATTGAAATTTATATTAACTATATGGTACTCTCCGGAGACTAGTTCGGCTATAGCTGGTAAGTCCTTTTTGTGACTAGGAGTGTTCATTTATTTATAACAGTACAGTAAAATACCCGGAAGTGTACCGCACAAAGTGCAATGATAGCATTAAGAAAAAGACAAAAGTATGCTAGTTTAAACTATCTGTAAATAAGCGGTCGTATTCCGATCAGTGAGAACAATCAAAAATGATTTCATCTGTTTCAAAAAGTTTATCACTTTCACAAACACTAGGATTACTGTAGAATCGCTGTTGTTGTTTACTACAAATCGTAACTAGTAACGTCTAAGGCCACTCATTTACACTCCAACCACAGGGTTATGATGGGTCAAGCGTTACCACTTATACATTTTTCCATCAAACCGCAACCTTATTTTACAAAACGATCGTCTCTTCTCATTTTCGCCATAACTAAAAATTCCCGAACCTCTTCAGTACTTAAAATTGTTATTATCGAGGCTGTTTTAAATGACTGATTTGACGAAATACCCAATCGTAAAAATCAGTCGATAAATGAACGCAATGATATGGAGTGTAGCCGAATGACGGTTGCTCACGAAACTTTATTGACTCAAATCTCTGGATGATTGGAAGTCAGAGAACACTAGTCTTATGAATCGTTTTTTTTGTAACGAAATAACCTGTCGCACAACAAAATAAACGTAATAAAACTTTATAAGCGATTGAAAGAAGCTAGCTTGTAGGGCACTCACTATCTAATCAGCTAAGACTTAATTTCTGGGCTTACGTTTTTATCATCGTATCACTGCTGTAAGTTAACAATCTTATAAAGACAGCAGTCAGACAGTCGTAAATGCGACTTAGAAAATAGGTGTCATACCTATGCGTTTTTATCTGTATTTTGCCAAAAATTACCCATGTTTGTATAAGTTAGCTATGATTTTCACTATGAATAAGTTAATCTCATCATCCAGCTCAGAGAACGAAACACCACCACAATCATCCACCTGAGCTACAAGTTTTCTCCACCATCTCAAAATCTCATCATCCACACTAATGCCAATCTATATACAACCGTCTAGATATTCAAATTTCTAGACTGACAAACGACTAGCTTTAGTCATCCTCATGTGTATCAAACTCTGACAATGGAAGTACACTGCAACCAAGTTTCAGTGACCTAACTGTATTAATATGTCAACATCCCAGATATAGTTCATTCATTACATCTAATGTTTTTTCCGAAGTTACCGACAATTATCCTGAGCGTGGAAAAATCTTGACTAACTTTCGCTCCTATATTTACGAGAAACAGGACCATAATTTTGTGGGGATTCGTTAATGGTGATGGTCATAACCTACACTGAAAATTTCCAATAGTCCGATTACGTCTCCATCTAGACACACGTTATCGTTTCTCCTCAACGAATCAACCAATTAATAGCAACGTATAACTTCGTACGTTCGTACATCAGTTCATGTTGCCATACCACATTAGCACAAAGATGTAATTGTCAGTTCAAATCCAATAGTTGGAGACGTTAGGATTGGAAGATATTAGTCAAGAAGTAGAATCTAGTGAAATCGACTTAAAAAGATATAGATAAAGTGATGAAGAATTCACAAGTTTAGAGTTTGAGAGAGCACGAAGAATAAATGCAACGGCGCTATTGCAGACGATGCAGACGACGACATGGCTCAGTCCACTTGTCAATGACTTCATGGATTTCTGCCATGTTTTGGTTTGGCCGCCCCTAGCTTTCTTCCAACCTTTTCCTATACTACAAAACAAAGCTCGTCGAGGCAGTCGGTGGTTAGGCATACGCAGCACATGTCCCAACCACCTCAACTGATAAAGTTTCATTATTTCACTCATTGATCTGCCACCCCTACCTAGAACTCGTTTCCTAATAACAGCGTTGCTCACTCAGTTGTCCCAGGATACACAAGCATTGCTTCGAATACACCTATGATCGAAAACCAGTAACCTACGAATATCTTCTACTCTGGCTAGCTATGTGTCACGTCCACAAAGTAGGACGGAGCGAACTACTGCACAGTACACTTGTCCTTTGGTCAGCCAACGGATATCTCGCTTTCGCCATAAGTGACGCAAGTTGACGAAAGCCAATCGAGCCTTCTGTATCCATGCTGAGATTTCGTCAGT